TTTAACCATTTTCCTCTCAAGCAATACAAGCCTTGTTTTTTTTTTTTTTAGATTTTCCTTTCTTTTCATCACTCCTTTTGGCGTTTGGACGATTCANATAATAATTCTAATACTCTCAGATCTTCAACAACCAATCTTATTTCAATATTTTGAGATGATGAAAATTATATTTTTTTCTAGAAAACACCAATGATTATTACACGAATTAAACAAATATTGCACGTCTAATGCTTCTTTTTCTTTATACAGTTGCTATTTGTTTTTCTTTTTTCTAGGGTTAAACATGATTTTCTGTCCAAATTAAAAAATAATATTATTCATTTTCATATCTAATTAATTTAAAAAAAGAAGAATTATCAATAGACGCATTAAGGTAACACTAAAAAAAGAGTTTATTTATTTTATTTAGATAAATTTACATGGATAATTAAAATTTCTTATTTAATACACCCTAATTATATCATTAAAAAAAACCTCACATATAATCTTTAATGCACTCTACCCATTCTTTTATTTTTCTCTCACTTAAAGTTGTATCACAACCTTCTCTCTAAATTTTTCATCCATACCTCAATTATTTCAAAACCTCAATACATCTTGTACTAGCAAGAGAATTAGAGATTATTTCTAATGAATGGGACTTTCAAATACCATAAGTTCATCTTTCCTCAAAAGATTATCTATCGCTTTTTTATATGAATTTGTCACTAATATTTGTGGAATTAGTTGAGATATATTCTCTTAACTTAGTTAAGTTCATAATAAAAATTTGTTATGATTGGTATAGGTTTTTAGATTTTGAATGACTGTCTTGTTTAAGTTGGAAATTTATTTTGAATTACAAGAAATTTTATTTATGAAATTTTATAAAACCTTACGATAGTGATATGGATATGAAGGTGACCTAGTAATAAGATTTTGATTTATATGCAAATATGTTATTTTTCGTTTGAAATTAATTGTTCCTTTAATTTTTGGATTAATATATGATTGTTTTAATAAATTTTTTGAATAGAAAATTCTTGTAGAGAAGTTGATTTGGTGATGATGTATGTTAAGATATATAGATTATTAAATTGAGATTTAGATATAACTTTGATGAACATATTTAATTTTTATAGTGATTCCTTGTATTACCTTGAGTTTGATGTGAAAGAAATATATATTAAATTTGAATAGTTAAGAATGAATTGAAATGTGTGAATGAAGGATGATATCAGAATAAATTTTGGAATGTATTGATTATTTTGAATATATTTAAGAGTTGTATTTGTTGTTATATTCGCAATCCAAAATATTGATGTTTGGACAAAAATTAAGAGGGAGGTAAATTGATTCATTTATTAATTAATATTTAAAAAAAATTTCAAAGTTTATCATTCAATTAAAACATTTTCACTTGTTTTAACAACTTTAGCAAAATAAAGAGAGTGTGAAATAGAAAATTCGTACATAGATATTTTATATTGGCTCAATTAAATAAGATTACGTCTAATTGTTAATCTTTCTAAAAAAAATTAACTCAAATACTAAAAGTAAATCAAACTTACAATCATATAAAATAAAACTTAAAGTTTAGAGAACACGTCTATTGATGACACAAGAGAAAAAAGACGTATTTTTTTAATCACACAATAATGAAACACTTTTTTTAGTCACACAAAGGATTAATAAGAACCTATTTCGTGAAAGTTATCACTATACTCATAATAAGTTTTTCAAAGCCCATTTTTACAATCATACAAGAAAAAGCTTAAGGTTTATAGAACACATCTCCAGAAGGCACAAGAGATGGAAGACACATTTTTTTAATTACACAATAATTAAAAACTTTTTTTGAGTCACACAACTCCTGGCAAGAGCAATAACACTCAATCACATAACAACTCACTTTGTGAAAGTTATCACTCTACTTATAATAGGTTTTTCAAAGCTCATTTTTACAAGTAGATAGAGTTTCTCTAGCAGTGAGAGTCCTAAATCACTGAATGAAAAGTTACTTTTGAAATAGGTCTCCCCAAAGATATATATACTTCTTATTTGAAAATCAGGTCAATAATATGAAAAGTCAAGTCATAATCGCCACTCTTAATCAATTATTTTAAAAAAATAATCAATTATCACAAAAACTCTTTTGAAAACATCTTTTCGTTGTGGTAAACAATTATGACATATACTCTTATGAAAAACCTGATTTAAATTAGATAATCGATTATTACAAAATTTTTATTTTTAAATAAATGAAATCATTCCCTAAGTCATCTTTGTGTATGCTACTTTATGACTTTCTAAGTTAGATCCTACAAACAATTCATTCACTAATATATGACTTATTATAAAGGTTTAATCAAATACATAAACAAAATGCAAGTCTTCCAATATTTTTTGTTATCACTTTAAGTTATTGGATTTACTTTTATCATCATTAAAATTTACTCTTGAATATTGATCTTCTTCATCTTCTTTTACAAACAATCTACCCCTTTTTTTATGATGATCAAAATTTGTTTTAAAGCATTTTGTAATAACATGCAAATACACAATTACACAAGAAAAAAACATTAAATAACTAAGGTTTTAAATTTTTCTCTCCCTTTTTTTATCATTATAAAAAGAAATATTAAACCTTTTAGATAACTCCCCCTAAATCAGATAATTTAATGAAATTGAACTCCTATTGAACAAACAATTCATACAATAGGGAAAACAAAAAAAAGATAAAATATTTTATTAATTTAAAATTTAAAAATCATCACTCATATCATCATTGTCATCAAAACAAAATAATTAATAATTATTAATGAACGTTTGGCAAGTCTAGGATTGAATAGTATTAGATTACTAATTTACGTCATTTTGAGCAACAAAAATATCAAGTTAAATGATGAACATAAACAAGTGATTGGAATTCAAATAATATAAACAATGTTAGAAAATTGATTTCATACATTTTCATATAAATTCCTACCCTTTCGAATTGATGTGTGAATTATCATTATCCACTTGAGTTTATTAAGAGCTTGTTTACCCCTAATTCCTTAGATAGAAAAACTTATCTATTGAATTCGAACCCCAATCCCTTAGGTCAGTTACAACATTCAATAAAATCATGAAGAACACTTTTATCTCAATTGCAATTGTGCCCAATTTCCCAATTGTGACAACATCTTATCTGTTCTATTTATAATCGCAAACAATCCCCAATTCCCCAATTGTGAAACTGTTCATAGAATAGACATTAGAACATAAATAAAACACTGAGACAATTAAAATTAACAAAACATCAATTGAAAAGGTTCAAAAATTATACTCCAAAGTATTACATCAATCCTCTAACAAAAGGAAATTTAGTCCTGCATGATGTAAAATTCAAAAGCAAACCAGAAGAAGAAGTGTTGAAGCCCTGGCATGAACGTCCCTCCCCTTCTGGTACGTTTCTCCTCTTTTCTCCTCCTCTCCAATTCTCTTTCTCTCTCCTATTTAATCTCCCTCATTACTCTTTTTAAGAGAGTGGTTACTCTCTCTAAGTAAGTGTCCTTAATTTCTATTTAATTTAAATCTCTTTAAATCCACGTCATAAAAGAGGTTAGTAACTGCTCTAGTGCTCTGAAAAATTCCACAACTCATTTCTCTGGTTTCCATTCTGCATTTCCTGAGGGAAATCCACAGGTTGTGGTAAAAACCACAACTCACTTGTGAAACACTCTGTTTTGTCTTCTATTCTCTCGAGCAAAATCCACAGGTCGTGAACTGTCCACAGCTAGGTTGTGGAACTCTTTGGTTTCATCTCTTCATCTTATACATCAATTCTTCCCAAATTGTGATTTTGGCACTTAGAATCACCAATCTACAAGAAAAACACAAAATCTGAATGTATGATCCGAAACCAGAATAATGCATGACCAAATCATTCAATTAATGCAATTATGTATGCAAATGGCCTAAACTAAGATATGAATGCAGTTAAATTTTATTTACTCATCAAGTATCAAATTTATCTTCTAAGTGAGAAACTCTAGTTCTAAATTTCTAATTAGACTACACACTTCTTCATGCTTAGAACCTCGAAGATCACATATTCCTTCCATCCTTCTAGACATATTAGTGATATATCCTTCCATGAAGGAGGAAGACCCAACAATGTGTTGAAATATAAGGTTGTTGCAAAATGGAGTTTTTATGAGAGAAACAAAAATTGAAAAAACAATTAAAAACTCTAATCATGTGATAAATGTGGGAATTTCCAATTCAAGAATAGGGAATTATAAATGTGTAGTAGCTTGATATAATCATCCATTTTGTATATTCAATTACTCCCAACGGATTTATTTGGTGGAATCAACGCAAAATCAGCCATTGCCAAAAACTATTTTTCAAATAAATTCACCCTATAACTATGGATAATTGATTATTGCTTCATACTCAAATTACATAAAATTCTAGATGCAATGAGAATCAATTATCAACCATTAAGCAAATATTTCCTTTTTCGTATGAGTCACTTGAGTTGGATGAGCTTTAACCATTTTCCTCTCAAGCAATACAAGCCTTGTTTTTTTTTTTTTTTAGATTTTCCTTTCTTTTCATCACTCCTTTTGGCGTTTGGACGATTCACATTTACATGATTGGTTTCTCCGTAATCATAGCATTTTAAATTTGAAGAAGATTCTTGATTCTCCTTCTTATCACTTCTACATTGTCCTTTACCTTTGGATTTCATGAATCTGTTGAATTTTTTAATCACGAGACTCAAGTTTTCATCGTCGTCATCCTCATCATCATCCTCTTTATGACTTTTATTTTTTACAATCTCAGTTTTGAAGGTTGTGTTTTTCTTCCTTCCTTGATCATCTTCTTCATTTAAGTGTCAAAGTTTAAGTTCATGCTCTTTCAACTTATCAAAGAGAGTNACACAAAACCTTATGCAGGTCTGCCATGAATCATCCTATGTTAAAATTTTCGTATTATGGACACATTGTAGTGGATCTGTTTGTGCCCAAAAGTGATAACGTAATCTACACCTTATTCATGCCCATTAAAGAAGCACGGTAGCAGTTCACGAGGAAAGGGATGTTAGATTCTTTACCATCAGTTTCTTTTGCCTCAATGATAGGTACAGCATCTTCATCATTTGCACGATCATATCCATATCTGCGTTTCCAGGTTCCTGTTTGTTCATCGTACACAATCTTGTCTTTCTTCCGATTCTGTATGCCTGCAAAGTAACACAGGATAAAGTTCATCAGTTAAACCAGCAAAAATTAGAGAGCACTAAGCCTAACACAGACTACATAAACATCATTAAGATTATTTGTGGGTCACTTGAGCAGAGCATGAAGAGACGAACCTTTCTTTTTGGCAAAAACTTCCCATTTAGTAGGAGGCTTAGGTTTTGGCAGCTGAAAGCATAAAAAAAATTTATGAGCCAGTATTTTGACAAATTAGAGACATAATAAAAATACTGGAAGCAAAGAACCGACAATGGAATCAGTACAATTTCATAGTTAATTGCAAAACAGACACGTATATGAAAGAAAACGCTTTTATTTAGCCCTTGGAAAGTTGCAATACAATAAAAATAAGGATTAAGGTTACGAGCATCAAAATAAAAAAGTAACAATTACTAGATTTTATAACCTTTGGATTTAAAAGAAGAATAAGAGTGTGGGATTACATGTTTTTCTCTTGGCAATTTAGTTAGTGGCGGCGGCAAGTTGACTAGGGGGCCATCTACATCTTCGGTTGATGGTAAGGTGAAGAGGGCATCTGCGATAGCTTGAACCAAGTGAGTGCCTTTCAGTAAACACTGCTTGACGAGGTCCTCCCTGTGTTCAATTAACGTAAGCAAGGCAGTGTCAAACTCGAAAATCACGAAAAAAAAACCCTGAAGAAGAAAAAAAAAACGGTACCTGGAAAGAGGTGGTTGAGAGGGGAAGGTGTGATTGGAGTCAAAAGCCATGAGGTGTCCGAGGTCCACATCGAACTTGTGCTGTTTCTCATCCTCAATCTCCATCTCCATCACCTTCAACTTCAACGAATGAAAACAATATCAAACCTATGCGGCGTCGCAGGTGGGTAAGGGCTTAAGGGTTTGTGATATATTGTGTTGCAGAGCCAGAATGAAGAAAATTGAGAAACCAATAAAATAAAAGGGTTTTGGAGGGTTTTGTAAGCAAGCTCCTCTAAAATATAATCAGTAATAATAATTCTAATACTCTCAGATCTTCAACAACCAATCTTATTTCAATATTTTGAGATGATGAAAATTATATTTTTTTCTAGAAAACACCAATGATTATTACACGAATTAAACAAATATTGCACGTCTAATGCTTCTTTTTCTTTATACAGTTGCTATTTGTTTTTCTTTTTTCTAGGGTTAAACATGATTTTCTGTCCAAATTAAAAAATAATATTATTCATTTTCATATCTAATTAATTTAAAAAAAGAAGAATTATCAATAGACGCATTAAGGTAACACTAAAAAAAGAGTTTATTTATTTTATTTAGATAAATTTACATGGATAATTAAAATTTCTTATTTAATACACCCTAATTATATCATTAAAAAAAACCTCACATATAATCTTTAATGCACTCTACCCATTCTTTTATTTTTCTCTCACTTAAAGTTGTATCACAACCTTCTCTCTAAATTTTTCATCCATACCTCAATTATTTCAAAACCTCAATACATCTTGTACTAGCAAGAGAATTAGAGATTATTTCTAATGAATGGGACTTTCAAATACCATAAGTTCATCTTTCCTCAAAAGATTATCTATCGCTTTTTTATATGAATTTGTCACTAATATTTGTGGAATTAGTTGAGATATATTCTCTTAACTTAGTTAAGTTCATAATAAAAATTTGTTATGATTGGTATAGGTTTTTAGATTTTGAATGACTGTCTTGTTTAAGTTGGAAATTTATTTTGAATTACAAGAAATTTTATTTATGAAATTTTATAAAACCTTACGATAGTGATATGGATATGAAGGTGACCTAGTAATAAGATTTTGATTTATATGCAAATATGTTATTTTTCGTTTGAAATTAATTGTTCCTTTAATTTTTGGATTAATATATGATTGTTTTAATAAATTTTTTGAATAGAAAATTCTTGTAGAGAAGTTGATTTGGTGATGATGTATGTTAAGATATATAGATTATTAAATTGAGATTTAGATATAACTTTGATGAACATATTTAATTTTTATAGTGATTCCTTGTATTACCTTGAGTTTGATGTGAAAGAAATATATATTAAATTTGAATAGTTAAGAATGAATTGAAATGTGTGAATGAAGGATGATATCAGAATAAATTTTGGAATGTATTGATTATTTTGAATATATTTAAGAGTTGTATTTGTTGTTATATTCGCAATCCAAAATATTGATGTTTGGACAAAAATTAAGAGGGAGGTAAATTGATTCATTTATTAATTAATATTTAAAAAAAATTTCAAAGTTTATCATTCAATTAAAACATTTTCACTTGTTTTAACAACTTTAGCAAAATAAAGAGAGTGTGAAATAGAAAATTCGTACATAGATATTTTATATTGGCTCAATTAAATAAGATTACGTCTAATTGTTAATCTTTCTAAAAAAAATTAACTCAAATACTAAAAGTAAATCAAACTTACAATCATATAAAATAAAACTTAAAGTTTAGAGAACACGTCTATTGATGACACAAGAGAAAAAAGACGTATTTTTTTAATCACACAATAATGAAACACTTTTTTTAGTCACACAAAGGATTAATAAGAACCTATTTCGTGAAAGTTATCACTATACTCATAATAAGTTTTTCAAAGCCCATTTTTACAATCATACAAGAAAAAGCTTAAGGTTTATAGAACACATCTCCAGAAGGCACAAGAGATGGAAGACACATTTTTTTAATTACACAATAATTAAAAACTTTTTTTGAGTCACACAACTCCTGGCAAGAGCAATAACACTCAATCACATAACAACTCACTTTGTGAAAGTTATCACTCTACTTATAATAGGTTTTTCAAAGCTCATTTTTACAAGTAGATAGAGTTTCTCTAGCAGTGAGAGTCCTAAATCTCTGAATGAAAAGTTACTTTTGAAACAGGTCTCCCCAAAGATATATATACTTCTTATTTGAAAATCAGGTCAATAATATGAAAAGTCAAGTCATAATCGCCACTCGTAATCAATTATTTTAAAAAAATAATCAATTATCACAAAAACTCTTTTGAAAACATCTTTTCGTTGTGGTAAACAATTGATTTAAATTAGATAATCGATTATTACAGAATTTTTATTTTTAAATAAATGAAATCATTCCCTAAGTGATCTTTGTGTATGCTACTTTATGACTTTCTAAGTTAGATCCTACAAACAATTCATTCACTAATATATGACTTATTATAAAGGTTTAATCAAATACATAAACAAAATGCAAGTCTTCCAATATTTTTTGTTATCACTTTAAGTTATTGGATTTACTTTTATCATCATTAAAATTTACTCTTGAATATTGATCTTCTTCATCTTCTTTTACAAACAATCTACCCCTTTTTTTATGATGATCAAAATTTGTTTTAAAGCATTTTGTAATAACATGCAAATACACAATTACACAAGAAAAAAACATTAAATAACTAAGGTTTTAAATTTTTCTCTCCCTTTTTTTATCATTATAAAAAGAAATATTAAACCTTTTAGATAACTCCCCCTAAATCAGATAATTTAATGAAATTGAACTCCTATTGAACAAACAATTCATACAATAGGGAAAACAAAAAAAAGATAAAATATTTTATTAATTTAAAATTTAAAAATCATCACTCATATCATCATTGTCATCAAAACAAAATAATTAATAATTATTAATGAACGTTTGGCAAGTCTAGGATTGAATAGTATTAGATTACTAATTTACGTCATTTTGAGCAACAAAAATATCAAGTTAAATGATGAACATAAACAAGTGATTGGAATTCAAATAATATAAACAATGTTAGAAAATTGATTTCATACATTTTCATATAAATTCCTACCCTTTCGAATTGATGTGTGAATTATCATTATCCACTTGAGTTTATTAAGAGCTTGTTTACCCCTAATTCCTTAGATAGAAAAACTTATCTATTGAATTCGAACCCCAATCCCTTAGGTCAGTTACAACATTCAATAAAATCATGAAGAACACTTTTATCTCAATTGCAATTGTGCCCAATTTCCCAATTGTGACAACATCTTATCTGTTCTATTTATAATCGCAAACAATCCCCAATTCCCCAATTGTGAAACTGTTCATAGAATAGACATTAGAACATAAATAAAACACTGAGACAATTAAAATTAACAAAACATCAATTGAAAAGGTTCAAAAATTATACTCCAAAGTATTACATCAATCCTCTAACAAAAGGAAATTTAGTCCTGCATGATGTAAAATTCAAAAGCAAACCAGAAGAAGAAGTGTTGAAGCCCTGGCATGAACGTCCCTCCCCTTCTGGTACGTTTCTCCTCTTTTCTCCTCCTCTCCAATTCTCTTTCTCTCTCCTATTTAATCTCCCTCATTACTCTTTTTAAGAGAGTGGTTACTCTCTCTAAGTAAGTGTCCTTAATTTCTATTTAATTTAAATCTCTTTAAATCCACGTCATAAAAGAGGTTAGTAACTGCTCTAGTGCTCTGAAAAATTCCACAACTCATTTCTCTGGTTTCCATTCTGCATTTCCTGAGGGAAATCCACAGGTTGTGGTAAAAACCACAACTCACTTGTGAAACACTCTGTTTTGTCTTCTATTCTCTCGAGCAAAATCCACAGGTCGTGAACTGTCCACAGCTAGGTTGTGGAACTCTTTGGTTTCATCTCTTCATCTTATACATCAATTCTTCCCAAATTGTGATTTTGGCACTTAGAATCACCAATCTACAAGAAAAACACAAAATCTGAATGTATGATCCGAAACCAGAATAATGCATGACCAAATCATTCAATTAATGCAATTATGTATGCAAATGGCCTAAACTAAGATATGAATGCAGTTAAATTTTATTTACTCATCAAGTATCAAATTTATCTTCTAAGTGAGAAACTCTAGTTCTAAATTTCTAATTAGACTACACACTTCTTCATGCTTAGAACCTCGAAGATCACATATTCCTTCCATCCTTCTAGACATATTAGTGATATATCCTTCCATGAAGGAGGAAGACCCAACAATGTGTTGAAATATAAGGTTGTTGCAAAATGGAGTTTTTATGAGAGAAACAAAAATTGAAAAAACAATTAAAAACTCTAATCATGTGATAAATGTGGGAATTTCCAATTCAAGAATAGGGAATTATAAATGTGTAGTAGCTTGATATAATCATCCATTTTGTATATTCAATTACTCCCAACGGATTTATTTGGTGGAATCAACGCAAAATCAGCCATTGCCAAAAACTATTTTTCAAATAAATTCACCCTATAACTATGGATAATTGATTATTGCTTCATACTCAAATTACATAAAATTCTAGATGCAATGAGAATCAATTATCAACCATTAAGCAAATATTTCCTTTTTCGTATGAGTCACTTGAGTTGGATGAGCTTTAACCATTTTCCTCTCAAGCAATACAAGCCTTGTTTTTTTTTTTTTTAGATTTTCCTTTTTTTTCATCACTCCTTTTGGCGTTTGGACGATTCACATTTACATGATTGGTTTCTCCGTAATCATAGCATTTTAAATTTGAAGAAGATTCTTGATTCTCCTTCTTATCACTTCTACATTGTCCTTTACCTTTGGATTTCATGAATCTGTTGAATTTTTTAATCACGAGACTCAAGTTTTCATCGTCGTCATCCTCATCATCATCCTCTTTATGACTTTTATTTTTTACAATCTCAGTTTTGAAGGTTGTGTTTTTCTTCCTTCCTTGATCATCTTCTTCATTTAAGTGTCAAAGTTTAAGTTCATGCTCTTTCAACTTATCAAAGAGAGTCGTCATGGAAAACATTGCAATATTTTGAGATTCAGTGATCATCGTGACCTTCATTGTTATGTCTTGTTCAAAGATTTCAAAATCTTAATATTAAGTTCATTAGTATCAAAAGTTGTACACTTGTGATATGATTAACGATGTGTGTGAAACACTTTTACATGTCA